TGATAAACTGACACAGCAAAACTGGTCCAACAAAGATTTTATGACCACCCTTGGACACAGACATTCCAGGCTTCCACTCCCCATCTTTGTCACTGCTGCCTCTAGAACTGTATATAGCTTCTGCCACTGCCACTTGTCACCAGAGTAGGTTGTGGCCAACTCCTGTAGCCAGCTCCCGCTGCTCTCCGTCACTGTTTCTGATTTAGACGTGTTCACACATTAGCTGCAGGGAGGTTGGAATGTGAGTGCCTGACATTTCAGTTTCTATCCCTGGATGCAGGCTCTGCCTCATAGAGAAGATTTCCCAGACCTAGGAAGGTGGTTTTGATGCTCAGTAGCCAAAGAGGAGGATAAATGTCCATTGTGGTGAATGAGACCACATTTAAGTGGAGTAGTCAGCCAGGGGTCCTGTGGAGAAAGAAGAATGTAGATGGATTTGTTCTGTGAAAACCAATTTGAAATAAAAAACACAACAGCATCTGAGAGAGGTCCTGCAGAAAGGTACAATTCTGATAGAAATGTGTTGTTCTCATGTAAACATTATGTTGAACAAGCAGGAAACAGAGTGTAAACAGAAAGCAACTTTATTTTTGTCCTCTGCTGCCCCTGTCAGTCAGCTCTGTACAGCCATGTCTGCTCTTTTCAATCAAAGGCAAGAAGTTCTTACAAGATTTCCGTCATTCTTGGGTAATATAAGTCTAGGGGTATTTCAGGCAATAAATCATAGCCTTAAAATGTCCAGCCTTATGTAATAGTGAAAATTTCAAATTTGCATTTTGTGTCAAACCGTCTCCCCTTGTACAGTTTGGGCCTGAAGCAAGGAAGGAAAAAAACCTCTATTTCCTTGTGTTTAACATTTCTACTTGACTGGTACTACCATAACACTTTGAGTTTGCAAACTCTTTTTTGTAGATGTTTATGGCTAATTTTTTAATAGACTCTAGCATCCTTTATTAGGTACACTGAAGAGCAAGTAATGCAAGTTTGGGTGGAAAATGTAAAGTTGGGGGACAAGCCACAGTAGGCCATTGTGCACCTTTGTTATTGCTACACCATTGGATGGGTCATACATACCTCTGGATACTTCAAAGCGCAATCCTTAACTCTTTCCTAAACTATTTCTCAGTACTTTTTTTTATCCCATATCCTCATAAGTCCTGGCATGTCCTCATATGCACTCTGGTTCTTAAAGAATCATCAAAAATTTCTTGTGGGACATCTTACATCTTACATCTTCAGGGCAATGGAGTATCCAATAGTATCTCACACACATTAATAAATGTTTGTAGATCTCTAGAAGGCAGGGTTTTCCATGTATCTATGAGACACTCAATGGTACTTTCTGGAAGTCATTTACCAAAGATTCCCAACCTTTAGCAAGCAAAACAGTACGCATCATGGCCACTTACAGCCTCGTATCTCTTCCCACACAGAGCTGAATAAGATGCCTCTGAAAGACAGAGGTAGGTAAACCAGTCCTATTGCCAAATTCAAAGTCACCTAAGATGCACCATCACTTTTCTTTTCAACAAAATGTGTTTCAGCTCCATAAATGTGAGGAGCCAGAGCAAAGGTAGCTTTTGTGTCACTCTCCCAACGCACCTAATTAACACAAGATTATAAGGAAATGCATTTAGATGTTTGAGGAGGAGACCTTAAAGGTCAGAAACTGCCAAGGCCCGCTGATAATGAAAAAATATTGTGGGAAGTAAGGAAAAAAATAAAAGACCTTCCATTCTCAGCCCGTGTGACATGGAAGGTATCTTTTAAGCAAAATTCAGTTGTTCCTCTGATAGTAACCTCTGATATACACTTATTAATTTACCAGCCATTTGTTAAGAAATGCTGAATTCATTATGACAAAGTTATTCAATTATATGTCTGCCAATGGCTGAAGTCAATTCAGACTGATTTTGAATTTCCAGAACTTTGATTTTCAACAGTAAACAAGGCTAAAAACAAACAAACAAACAAAAATAATAAGCAAGGTACCAAATCTTATTACATGAATTTTCTGAGCCAATACCAAATGGTAGACATTATAACCTTTTCATTAAACCCATTTACAAGTTAGAATATTCCAAGGCCTCTGGAAGAAAATTCTGTAAACTGTGTATTACTTGATTAGTTACTGAGATTTAACATTTGGATCTCACACAGTTCTTGCTGTAGCAGGCACATTTACAATTAAGAATGTGAACTATCTTAAAATGTCAACAGACTAGTAATCTTACCTCCAGACACCTTATGGCTGAAGTTAAGCCATCGTATTCACTGAACCAAGGATGTCTGACTTTTCCTGAAAGCACAGACATCTTCTTTGCCAAGGAAGATCAAAATCCATTTACTATAGGCAAATCTTTGCTCAGCCTTCTCTTGTGTGTGCAGAGCCCGATGCACACTGGTATTCTGTTTCCTCTAATGGATTAGAACAGAACTAACAACAATTCTGAGTTAAGCTAACCTGGGATTAAACCCATTCTTCCCCTTTCAAAGAGAAAAAAATATTGAAAGTACATATTTTATAATTTAGAAATACAAACATGGGAAAGAAGCAACTTTGGAGGAAGAGTAGAGTTTTTTTCAGTATCCGTTTTCCATGATCAGGATAACAGATGAAGACCTAAGACACAGGCGGTTTTCTCTAGACCTAAATATCCTATGCTTCCGTTTACTGTAGATTGTGACATTCTTTTTCACAAAGACCAATTAAAATTAGATTGGGGGAGCATCATGTAAAGGAGTAAAAAAATAGAGTTAGAAAAAAACTATTTTCTACATAAAACACAGTAAAGGCATCAGGCTTTTGGACACTGACCACATCTGTACCTCTCTATCTTATCTCATTTTTTTTTCTCCTTATGTGTCCTACCTATTAACATAAATCAAAACCTTTTTCTTAAACAAAGAAAATACAGAAATGAGTCTGTTGTCAAATTTTGTTTGGTTTTTAATATATCTTTTAAAAAGAATATTATGTACGATATTAGCCAGAGTTTCAAACATATTATGCAATTTTCACACCCTTCCTTTATTCTGTTTTTGGAACATAGTTTTTGCCTAGATTCAGAAATGAGTTTATTAGGTCTTCATTGGATCTACAAAGAAACCTTCATAATGCCTTAAAAAAAGGCCTCTCAAGTGCACACTATTGAAATGTGAGACCAGATAATCCATTATTCTGAGGGACTGTCCTGTGCACTGCAGGATACCTGGCAGCTTGGTTGGTCTCTACTCAATAGATGCACTCAACATATTCTCCGGCAGTTTTTGGAACCAAAAAAGTCCCCAGTTATTGACAGATGTCATCTGTGGGGCATATCTCCCATCCCAGCCCACCCCACCTCCACTACCACTCCTGGAACACCAGTTTCTGGTTTTGAGGGAGTCATTAAGACATGAAAAGGAGACATCAAAAGTAGGCAATAATTTGAAATATCAAAATCTTTGTTTCTCAAATATGTCAACACCTGAGCATATGTTAATAGACCTTACTCACTGCCTGTCTAATTGTTATCACTTCATTCTTCCCTTATTACACAGAGGACAGATCCATTGATGTCTGATGTCATGGACATCTTTTGGCCCTAGAAGAGATTATCACCAATAAGAATTTCATTTGCCTCTGCCAGCGATTGGCTAAGAAATAAGAACCATGCTCAGTTCCAAACAATGAGCCATAAAACAGTAGAGGGAGAAATTAACCCTATAAAATAAAAACATGATAATAATAGTAATGAAATAACAGTCTCTCAAAGAAAAAGCCATTTGGGCATATCTTTCTTTCCTCCACTGCAATTTCTGCCTTGAATGTGGCTGCACTGTTTGGAGCTTTGCTGCCAATCACAACTGACATCACAGGGGGTTGAACAAAAGAATGAAAAGCTGCAGCTTGAGGAAGGTGAACCAACAAGAGCTTCGACCTTTGGCGACAACTTTGAACTGCTCAACCCACATTAGAGTTCTCACCTTCACAATGCTCACTAACTGAGATAATTCAACACTTTACTGCCTAAACCAAAGGCTGGCAAACTATGGTCTACAGGCCAAATTCAAGGACTAATAATTGCTTTTACATTTTTAAAAGGTTATTTTTTTAAAAAAGAGAGAAGAATGACAGAGACCTTAAGTGATCCACAAAACCTGAAATCTTTTACCATGTTTCTCTTTCTAGATAAACTTTGCCAGTCCCTAACTTAAACCATGTATAGTGGATATCTTGTGATTTGAAACCCAAAACCTTCCTAATGTAAGTACTAATATCCTCATTTTACAATCACAGACACTGATGCTGTGATTTAATTTGTTGTAGAGTAAAGCCAAATTGAGACATCAAAAAGCATTTAACAGAAGTTCTATCACTTAGTACTTTAAATATTTTTGGTATACTAAGCTTGGTTTTACAAATCAGAATAGATAATGCTTCTTGATGAAACAGTGTAGTGGCACCTTGGCTTATGAACTTCATTTGTTCTATGTTTGGGGGAAGACAGCTGCATTTGTGTTTGTGTGGGGAAGATGGCCATGGATGTGTTGGTCATCCAGTGCAGAGTTTGCAAATGAAAGCGAAATTCTGTCCAGCGAAGACCTTCCAGGGATATCTGACTGTCTTGCTATCTGGAGCATCAAGGCATTTCCTGTGTTGGAAAACTAAACCTAGAGACTCTAAAGGAGAAAAGACTTTACAAACATTATATAAACAAATACACTGATGTGATAAATTTCCTCTCCTACTACTAAGATAGTTCTCACTCTTTCTGCTAACTGACTCCGAGGTGAATTCTCAGTGAATATATCTACACCATTCCTTAACTCTACATCCCATGTAATTACTGCTATCTACAGTAGGACAAACACACTCAGACACACCTTGGAAAGCAGTTTAAATATCAACAAAAATGTATTTATACTGCAAAAGTGAAGTACAGAAGAAAGTATTTATGGAAGAAGGCCCACTGTGGAAGGCTCCTAAGAGCTATACAAAAGTTACAGTGATCACCAACATCTAACCCTGGGCCATGTGCACACTGAGTGGTGACCATGGCCAGGCTTTTTAAAAATTTCAACCTACATTTTTTTTGCCATTATTTCCCAGTGCCTCTTCTAGTACTTACACAAAATATGCAGTGAATAAAAACACCAATCCTCCACTTACACCCAGTACTGGTTGTGTTTCAGTGTGGGATTGGTTTGTCGGCAGAGCTTGACCATGTCGGGATCCAGGTGCACCCAGGTCTCCCAAGGAGCACACTTTCCTATTGGGCCAACCATTGTGGGGAGCATTTCTTCACTCTGTAGAGCCTTGAAAAGACTAGCTGGGGGATCTGCTGGAGCTTTGGATAAGTGGTGTCACTGTGACGTTTGTAACAGTTATGCTCCTTTCTGGCTTACAACTTGGAGTTGTGGGTTCTCGGTTGGTAAGGGGGTTAATAAGTGCTTTTGACTTTGCTTCTTTCCCACCCAGCAGCCAGATGCACAAAGGCACTGAAATTACTATCAGCAGGAAGAACACCACTACCAAGGGTATGGTGACCATGAGAGGGTAAATGCTGTCTCTAGGCTGAGTGGGTGCCCCAGGGCTGAATTTGGTGGCAGCTGGTGGCCACATGACACCCATGGGAGAGATCGTGCCATTTACATCTGGCTCTGTACCACTATGTTGTCCCCAGGAATCTGCTCCTTGCCATCTGGTCCGGATCAGCCTCCCCTGAGTTTCTGTTTGTGTTGTGAATCCTGAAGAATCTACAGGCTTTTTCTGTGAGAAAACTGAGGTTACAAGGTCCTCTCCAGTGACCAAAGGAACACGTGGTGTAAAAGTTTGTGAAAATAAGGAGTCAGGTGGCACTATGGTGAAGGGGAGATAACCTAGTGCTGGCTGCACACGGTCTGCCCTGAGCAAGAATGTGAAGGAGTCATTAAGCACATGAGTGCCTGTGAGATTAGCACAAGCATCAAGCACCAGCAGTCCCTGATCAACATCCTTCTGAGTGAACAGCATGGCATCTTCCATCATGGTGCTGCCAGTCACTCTTCATATAAGTCTTCCATGGACAGGGGGTTCTGTCATTTCAAATTTGGGATCACTCTTAGTCATATTAGCAAGGTCACTTGCATCAAGGTCCTTTCCTCTCAGCTGATGGGCCACTCTGTTGGTGACTTTCAGATATGACATAACCTGCAACTGAGGTTGCACTCTGTGTTTGCCCTGTCAGGCTGCTTTCTGATGTAAACAATGAGAACTGCAGCTGGTCCTCCGAGACTGTGAGATTTGTCATATGATAAGATAGTCTTCCTGAGTCCAAGTCCTCCTGGCTAAAGCTAGTGACCAGCTGGTTTTCAATCAGCAGGTGCCCGTGTTGGAGGGGCCTTGTTATCCTGTAAATGATCTGGGGGCTCTTTCCATTGCTAATTGCTGACAGGTGAGCACTGGTGATAGAAACAATTGTCTGGCTTGTGGGAGAAGTAGTTCAGTGAGGTTCACAAGAGTGATGGAGATGGGGCTGACATCCAGGTGAAAGAGCTTGTAGTGAGGACGGTGTTTGCCATCAGTCACACTAAAGTAAAACACTCCAGAGGATGGGCTTCCATCTTGTGTGAACCACACCTGACAGCTATCAATGTCGACTTGCGTAAATTGGTGACAAGGTACAGCTGAATGGTTAGCTATTGCCATAAAGCCATCATTGGGGTTATGAATGATCACATATCTGATCTCATCTGGAGGACTGTCTGGATCCTCCACTTTCAGGATTTCAGGTCCCACAACCAACCTACTGCCCTGCAGCACTTGCAATCGAAGTCCTTTTGTCTTTAATTCTGGTGCCTGGTCATTCACAGGAGTGATGGTGATATTAAACAACTCAAGAAAGCCAGCCTCTGGCTTGGTGGCAGATTTGCTTTTTCTGTTCAGCCAAACAGCAAAGGTAAAACTATCAGCCAGTGATTCAGAATCATAGGGAAAGTAGGTCATTTCAAATTTATTAATGACGAACTGGGAGAAATAGGTTTTTCTGTGGTAATATTTCTTTCTCCAACCATAATGGTTCCATGGTGAGGAAGAGATGTAACCTGGAACCAAACTTCATAGGAAGAACACTGAGATTTGGGTAATTTAAATAAAAGATTGGAAGCATCTAACATAGATTGGTCAATTAGAACTCTGTCTCCCTTTGACAGTAGCTCCTGGTAAAACAAACATGAACAAGCAGCATTTCATTAGAACTTTCAGATGGCAGTTTCAGTAAAGCTTTCTCCCTCACATCTGCCTCTCCTAGTGGATTCTTCTCAGGGCTTTAGTTGCTCAAGTATCTGAATTAGCATTGCTACCCAGAGCATATGAAAATAAAATTTAAATACAAGCAAATACACAATTAACATCTCAGGCAAGTGCACTTTAAAACCTTCAAATTCAATTATATTTTAATTTCATAACTTAGCTACTTCTGGACTTTCTTTTACCATCAAAACTTGTGCACCTTTCAATTCCCCTTTCCTTTCAAGAACTTACCATATTTATCATTTTCATTTTCTACCAAGAGTGCTTAGTTGTAGGCTTGGTGAAGTAACCATTTGGAGATATAAAGAAAATTCTCTAAACTCAAATTACAGGTTTTTTCCCAATACAACCACTAGGCTAACAAGGGCAAAGAGAAGAGGCCCAGAAAAAGAGGGCATGCAAATAACAGTTCCTTATAACTGTTCAGTCTTATTTCAGAAGTTATTATAATAGCATTAACAAAAAGGGTAAAATTTATTTCCAAATTGTCCCTACTTTAATATCGACAAAGCACTCACGATTTCTTAGTAGCATTACCTGTACTTGCAAGCAGATGGCTGTGCCGACCAGGCTCATTAATTCCATATGAAATGGTAATAGAGAACTCCTCAGGGCCAAGAACTGCTGCAGGTGGAGAGGATGCTGTGAATGTAAAAGAGTCTTCCACAGTCCAGGCAGTTCTCCTGATCCATATGCTGGTACAGTATCAACCCCTCACTGACCTGGCCAGACAGTAAAAAAATTAGTCCCTGATTTGCAGGGTGATACAAAGATTAAAATAGATCCTATCTAGAGGAGACACATGCCATTCCAGGGCTTACTTTACTGATGCTCAAATTACTACACAAACTGCAAATGCAGGAACCTTGAAAGCAGGGAAGATTATTTTTCAAACTTAAAGAGATTGTATTTCAAAAATGGTCTATTCAACAAAGAAAAGCACACTGATTTTCAGGTTAGTGCCCCACTTTATTTGTATTATACAAAAGTGTATAATAGACTTCTATTTCCTTTGTCAGTTTCAACAATTAACAACTCTCATCAGTCTCGTTTCATGAGTATCTCTATCTTCTTTCCTACCAACAGATTATTTTGAATTAAATCATAGATACATCAGTTCATTTATAGATGCTTTACCAGTGTTAATAAAAGATAACTTTTTTTAGTTTGAAAGACAATTTTTGTACTTTTTTATTCTTTCCACATTAAAAAAACATTATTTGAGAAAGAAAAAATTTAGAACATCCACATACCACATTTCATATTTCTCATAGCTTTTTTTTTTCATATATGGGTTCCCTTTATTTTTTTTCTTACAGTTTATTTGTTCAAGAAATTGTTGTGTTGCAGTATTTGCTACATTTTGGATTTTGCTGATAGCATCTTTATGGTGTTAACATGACTCTCTTTCCTCATGTTTTCTATAAAATGTAGTTAAATTTAAAAGCTTAAGTAAGAATTAAGTTCAGTTTTTGGATGTGAATATTTTACAAGTTGTGTTAAATAATTCTTTTTTTACAGCTTGTAAGGCACAATAATATTTGGCTAACTCTTTTTAGGATATGTTAAGATTTTAGGTGGTTTCAAGTGTTGGCAGGTGGATCCATCTGTTGAAGGGTTTCCCATCATTCAGTCACTTAATAACTTAACACACTCATTGATGTTAGTTTCTTGATCCATTATTGCAGTGGCAAGAGATTAATACCATTTCTTTTATCATTCCTTCTTCATTTTTATTATCTGGTAGCCTGATATAAGGAAAAACTTTCATTCATCAGTTATTTGGCTATAAAGAGGAATACAAAGAAGAATGGGAGGAATGGAAAAATGCTTGTTTGCTTTGGAATCATTACAAACTTATAAATGTCAATATATATTTTATTCCATTGCAATTTTTATTCTCATGGATTTTCAAATTGTCCCATCTTGCTCCTAAGTATTTTTTTCGTTATTTAACTTTTAACATCAGTGGCTTAGTAAGGTCCTTTCTAACACAACTAATGGGGACGGGTTCTACCCAGTGTTTTGTTATCCAGACACCATTTGCACAGTCCTTCATCAAACATTAAAATTGTACCAGAGAAGGGAGGGCCACTAAAAATATGCAACTCTTACTTCTTACGCGTCACACATTTTCTCACCTGCTGTCTTTGATTATGCTCTGACCTTATGTGGGGTTTTGTTAAGGTACTACAAGCATCCAGTTCAAAACTGGAACAAATTATCATATAACATACAGAAGAGCTACTGAGTCTACTAATGTTGGCTGATGCTTAGAAATACTGTATGAATTAGCAGGTTTGCATTTCTGAATATGCACTGCTGGCTCAGTGCTGGTTTAGTGCCTATGTCTATAAATAGAGCTCCAGAAAGACTTTTGATCTAGGAAGTTTCTGTAGAAGATAAGCACCTTGTCCCACCCACGGTGTCCAAAAACTGCTGGTAAGGAGATTTTGTTCCTTAGACAATTGAAGGATGGGACAAAGAAATGCTTTCATTTGGGAATTTTAAATGGAGAGAAGAAAATGTCACTGCTCAACACTTTCTTGGGAAAATATGAGATTAGGAGAAATTAGATTACTTGGGTTAAAAAAATCCAATTTCAATTGGAAATTGGATTATTTTGTTCAAAGATAGGAATTTCTGATACTAACTGGAAACTCAATTTCCCAGAAGTTCCTAGAAAATAAGTCCATTTCATTCAGCAGTGGTTTCTTTTCCCATTTTCCCACTGATCCTTTGGTATAAGTGCAAATTAGCTTCCTGAATATATCAGAAGTTATTTAAATAATTTAAGCATCTTCTGGTACAGTATGGAAAGCAATTGCCTCAGGGAATGAATGGTGCTCATAAATGAGGACGATGAGACAAAAATCAGAAAGAAATCTTCCAAAAGACGGATCTGAGGAGGAGTTCTAAACATAGTTTTATACTTTGGGAATGTAATGGAGGGAAATCTTTTATAAATTCTGTTACTAAAAAGGCGTTTGTTTCAAGAGTGAAAAATTAAGTTTAAATAATCACTTGACATTCTACATTAGAGAGTGAGAGAGAAAACCAAATTACATGCATCTTGCATATCTGAATTTGAAGACTGGTTAAGTTACTGAAAATGCTAAGCTAGAAGTAAAAGAGACTAAGTTCCTGTGGATGCCAACTTGCCGGTTATGTTCTGAAAGAGATTTGCAGGTGAATCGTCCTTAATATTTACAAGAGTTTCAGCTTCTCTAGCATTAGAAGCCGGATTCTAAGGGAGGTACGGGACAGAGATAATGCACACGTGTCCGTGCCTGTATGTGCTGAGAGAAGAACTAGAAAGGGAGAAGGAGAGAAGGATCTCAGAAATACCTAGAAATTTTGTGACCTCAAATAGAAAATGGCCGCAGGAAGAGCTTCCAACAGCTCCACATAATTCCACTGTATTAATTATGGATAGAATAGCCACTTCGCTGGACAACTCTGCTCTGAGATTAAGGAAAGAAGGAAGTGAATGTTTCTATTTCTTACAGATTTATCTTAATCCAGGTATCTTCTCTTACAGGAGTCTTTCTGGAAGGCCATTAGAAAGTCAATGGTATAGAATCCCAAGTAATGAACATAGCAGGAAAAACACAATGAGGAAAAACTACCGCTTGGCAAATACAGCCATAGCATTTCAGGTAGAAATCCTAACGTGGTTGCTTGAACTAGTGGGCTATCGTGTAAAGAAAACTAAGATTTTTTTTTTTTTTTTTTAAACCGGTACCAGGGATCAAACTGACGACCGCCTGCTTGCAAGGCAGGTGCTTATGCTGCTGAGCTAAACCCCCAGCCCCCAAAATAAGATATTTTAATAGTTACTGGTTACGAAGAATCTCCCCACAAAATAATTACTAGTCACAAAGGAAAATCAGCAGAGTTTATTCCCAGGAGAGACCCCTTTGTGGGAATAGGGACAATTCTTCAGGAACCTAGTTCCTAAAGAACTCAACAAGACTTAGTTAGAAACGAGTAACTGAATAGGTCTGAGTAAGCACCCACAAGTTGAGATTCATGCCACTTTATGACCAGATGAGTTCCTGCAGAAGCCTACTAAAGCAAAAACCTTTTCAAGGAACCCAGTGGTATATCCTGATCCTGCCCTATTCAGCAGAGAGGTCCAAATTCACATTTGTATAGAAGAGTTTGATGGGACTCGTTTTTTTTTATAAATGCATAGACTTTTAATAAAAGTATAAATGAGGTATTATAAAAAGGTATAATTAGGAAACAGCACGAGGTAGTATTTGTTGAGAACAGTCACATACATAGACACATGAGGTCCTAATCTTAGGACCCTGTAAATGTTCCTTTGTGTGGCAAATACTCTACATAGGTGATTAAATTAATGATTGTGAGATGACTGAAAGATCACCCTGGATTATCCAGGTGGCCCAGTTGCACTCACACATCCTTAGAAGAGGCAAGCAAAGACAGAATTACACAGGCAGAAGGAAAGGCAACACGACTGTGGAGCAGCGATCGGTGAGATGTACCCAAATGCAAAGGAATTCCTGCAGCCATGACAGTGAATAAGGTGACAAAGGAATTTGCCAAGCCTTTGGGAAGTACACAGCTCCCTTTACACCATAATCTTTGCCTAGTGAAATAGATTTCAGGCTCCAACCTCTAGATTTGTGAGAAAATAAACTTCCAAGCTACAAAATGCCACCAAGTTCGTGGTACTGTGTTCCGCCAACAGTTCAACAGAAAGAAACACGTGGTTATTTACAGCCTCAGGACTCAGTTTGCTTGATGAAGAAGTGACGAAGTGGCCAGACAGCAATGGCCACACGTGGAAAATGTTCTCTACATAATTCAGTGAACTTTAATAGGAAAAAAGTGCCAAAAAATGTTGTATAAAATGTCCATAATGACTGTTAAGCCTAATTGCCATGGAGTGGGAGATCCCAAGAAAGCAGCAGTAGGGTGGGGCCAGAGTGATCAATGCAGAAAACAATAAATCTCTCTGTTCAGCAAATTCTAAGACCAAAGCTTAACAAGCCATGGAGTTGACTGTATTCCCCATTCAGTTGAAATAAATTAATTTCTACCCCAAGGGAAATGTGCTCACAATCCCTTAACATACAAGTGTTGTCTGGAGCAATAAACTCAGATTCTGGGAGGAAGAATAATTAGACAAATTTCATAATTTAGATTTAATATATAATTTTCTAAATGTGGCCCTGGAAATGCATCTGTATTGCAGCAGCAGAGAGAAACTAAGATAGATGATCTCTCACACATAACACAATAGCTGAAATGTAATTATTGTCTTTGTGGAAAACAAAAGAGGGCAGGCATCGAAAACCTCAAAACCAGAACATTTTGCTTTTAAATGACTCCAAATTATCTCAAAGAGAACCAGAATAAAAATCATTCAATTAGTTTCATATTCTACTTGGAAGAGAACTATAGAATTACTATAGAATTGAATTCTTATTTTGCTCATACATTCTTTAAAAGGAACAACTTCTCTGAATTTGTAAAAAGTTTTCACTCAATCTTAAAAAAATCTGATTATTTACCTTCTCTGTGTACTCAATTCTTCAGAACACAAGATTCTCAGCAAAAGTTTCTGTGGTTTAGCTTTTCCCAGTTAGGCAGATATTACACAATAATGAAAAAGTTACTTGTTTATTTTGGTAGACTGATTTGGTACAGTATGAAGAGATAGTGAATTTATTCTGGAATAAGAAATTAT